TGACCGGAAGTTCAGTTCCCCCACCATAGAGTCTCCTCCTAGCTCGGCGTACTTTTTCCTCTACCTGTCATAAACAAAAGTCCTGTCAATTGTGGAGACAACTGGAAAACCCTCCCCTTGCCATAGAGTCTTCTCCTGGCGCACTGTGCTTCTCCCCCGCCCCCCACACCGGAAGCTCCTCTCAAAATTGTGGCACCGACCGGTGACGGAGCCGCAGCAGAGGAAGGAAAGAGCCACATGCGGCTCCAGAGCTGCAGTTTGCTGACGCCTGCCCTAGACCACCATCTTCCTAGTACATTCACTTTCCTCGGAAGCTGTTTTGGCTTCTCCATACATTTGTGACATTTTTAAAAAAAGATGTTATGCAAACTTGCAGCTGCCATCTTGACATTTTTTTTAAACCCCACCCCACTCTAGGACACTCGTGGCCCATTTTCAGGTAGAAATAGTTCTTGGTCCTTGGCGCTCTCTGAGCTTGGTTGTTCTCTTAAAGACATTTCTTTACCCAACTAGGTAACATCATCAGCGCTAAAAGAAATGGGGGTTTGCACTGATGATGTTACCTCGTTGGATAATGAAACATCTGCAGGAAAACAGCCAAACTGAGAGAGCACTGAGGAGCCCACAGTTCAACTCTGAGCTACATATATTCTCATTATTGGTAGAAAAACTCTTCTCTCCAAATTGTTTTGTGCCTTCAAGCTCACATTGCAAGGGTTTTGAGAAGTGGTGGGCAATTTGCAGTCATGTAGGCACTGGAGATGCTAATTTATATTTTGCTTTGTTGTTAGTTGTGAAGTTGTGTGCGACCCCATGGACAACATTCCTCCAGGCCTTCCTGTCTTCTACCATCCTCTGAAGTCCATTTAAGCTCAGGCCTACTGCTTCAGTGACTCCATCCAGCCACTTTATTCTCTGTCGTCCCCTTCTTCTTTCGCCCTTCCTTTCCCAGCATTAGGCTCTTCTCCAGGGAGTCCTTCCTTCTCATTAGGACGCCAAAGTATTTGAGTTTCATCTTCATCCTCTTATCCTTTGCTAGAGATTCCCTTGCTTCCAATTTGTGCTGGCCAAACCGCTCAAGAGCCAAATTGGTCCAGAGTTCTCCAGTTGGTGACCTCTAGTTTATGTCCCTATGAATCAGCTTTAGGGCTAACAGCCTGATTCTCACCCATCTTTCCCAGTGCCTTTTCTGCAACAATGGAGTAAGATGGCATCTTTGTTGGGCAAACTACTCAGCCTCTCCCCTGGAATGACATAATGGATAAGAGAAATGTTATCTCACTGCATCTAAGTAAGTTGAGATCACAATTTCGGGGAAACCACCGGTCTATCCAATCCACCTTAAAAGATCTTCCTCTCCCCCCCTCCCTCCTTCTCTCAATTGCATCTCTCTGGGTCCCCTGGGTGTGAGGAAGGGAAAGAGAGAGAAGATCTGTGCATTTTAGAAGTGGGGGGGGAGAGAAAGGGGGGGAGGCTGCTTTGGCTAGGAGATGCAGAGAAGGAAGAGAGAGAAAAACAGGCAAGGGAGGAATAAGAGAAGAGGAGCCCGAGAGGAAAAGAGAGAGAAAGAGAGGGAAGTGTGTGGGGGGGAGATCTGAGATAAGGCAAGGAACCTCCCCTCCAAATAAGAAGTGGGGAGAAAGAAGAACGACTGAGGAGGACAGCAGAGAAAAAGCTGAAGGAGGGATTGCAGAGAAGGGGAAGGTGGAAGAAGAAAAGGAAGAGTGAGAAAGGGGAAACATAAGAAAAAAAGGGGGGGGAAGACAGGTGGAGAAAGAAAAGCGGGAAGAGCAGAGGGGAGGGAAAGCAGAAGGTAAGCCGGGGAAAGAAGAAGGGGTCAGCGCGGAAGAGGCTAGTCCGCGGGGAGGCAAGGAGAGGCGGTGGGAAAGAAAGAAAGAGAAAGAAAAGAAAAGATAGAGAGAAAGAAGTAAAGTTAAGGGCGCCTCGCGGGCAGCAGCGGCGTCTCCTTCCCGCCACCCTCCGGATCCAGCGCCAGCGCCCCCAGTCGAGGAGCGGGCAGTCCCGCCACTCCGGCGCCTCGAGGGGGGGGACGAGGCGGCGGAGGGGGGCAGCTCTTCCACACGCTCGCCCCCCTCTCCCCGGCGCGCAAACTCTTCACGGCCGGAGCTCCTTCGCTTCCCCGGACGCCACCCGAGCATCTTCCGCATCTAATTGGCGTGGGCGGCGTGGGGGGTGGGGTGGGGGGGGGAGTTGGTGGTACCCCCAGGAGAAAGGGTGGGAGGGGGAGGAGGAGGAAGATGAAGATGGAGGCGTCGAGGAAAGAGACCTAGGGAGCCGGAGAGTGAGAGGGCATGGAAAGGGCAGGGGGCTTCCGAGGATGAGGGCTCGCTCGCGGGGCGCATAAGGGCCGGTCGCCAGGAAGCTCGACTTCCGTCTCTCTCTCCGGAGGCTGCGAACGGGGGTCTTTGCCGCGGGATGCTGAGGAGGGGGCAGCTCCGGCTGTAAGCCCCCTCCTGACCCACCAGGATGTGGACCGGAGCTGGCAGGGGACTCTGTCTGCTGGGAGCGCCGGGGCTTCTGCTGCTGCTGCTGCTACTGAGAGCAACTTGTATGGCTGGTAAGAGAGAGAAAAGGGGGGGGGGGCAATTAGCTTGGAATGTTTTTTTGGCTGGGGAGGTAGGTGGGAGATTGAATTGTTTGTTGTAAAAAGAAAGGATGGACAAAAGGAGGAAGCCAGTCCCAGTGGAATCACAGTCAGGGGTAACTCTCTCACCTCTGCCCCCGATCTTTATATATATATATACATGCACAATTTTTTTCCATTCAGATTTTGGGAGCAGGTGGGTGCGTCTGCCTCCCTCCCTCCCTCGTGCATAAAAAAAGACCCTTTCCTTTATGGACACTGGCTAATCAGAGATGAAATCAATTGTTCTGAGGGGAAGATTTTCTCCGTCACGTTCTTTCCGTTCCCTCTCTCGCTCTTCATCCATCTGCTGTATGCACCTTTCCCAACACCTGATCAGCAGCCGCTTAAATTGATCCCCAGGCTGAGATCACACCTGTGCTGTTCCGCCCCAGCCTCGGGACACGAACCTGAAGAAGTGGCACCTATAGAGAGGCAAAAGTGTCTCTGAGCATGTGAAGTTTCTTTATCTGTATTTCATACAGTTGGGGAGTAGCCTTGATTTCTTCTCGTTTTTTGGATCTTTTCCCATGGCTGGGGAGGGAGGTAGCCTGCCAGCCCGGGGTTCCACATTTCAGCATTTGCAGTTTGGGCTTTGGACAAGTCTGTTTAGGAAGGAAGGACAAAGAGAAGGAGAAGAACTTTGGATAATCTTTATGACAAGGAGTGGCAAACAGAGAGAAAGATACATATGACATTTCTTTGCTCCAGTCCTCTCACCATCTGCTTTTGCTAATTTACCTTTTTTTCCCCCCTTTTCATTTTCCTCTCCTCCCTCCTTTTTCTAGTGCAATTTGTTCCTGCAAAAACCTATGAGGACTGGTGGGCATACAAAGAAACACTTCACGGAAGCTTTGTGCCAGGTACAAAATTCTCCATGCCTGGATAGTGGTTGTGGGGAAAGCTCCAAAGAACAAAGAGTAGCTTGTCTTCTTTAAATGACCTCTTGAGGTTCTCATCCTAGGTATTTCTTCTAGGTCTGTGACCTCTTCATGGGGGAGATATTTGCCATGAACTGACTTTTCTTGTGATCAAAACATTCATTGGGGGCCACTGACTATCCCTCATGTATATGTCTATTATTTTTTGTTACAACATCCTATTGACTCAATGCTCTATGGTTCCCAGCCACAGAATATTGTAAAGATCCGTAGCTGAGTCTGAACTGGTATTTCTCCTTTTGGCTGATGATTTCAAAGAGGGCTTAGCAGAAAACACTTGCTTTGGATTCAGAATTCCAGCTAAAAGGTTCAAAGAGTGACTGACAAGAAAACTTATGCTGGGAACTCTGATGTTGGCTTTTTCCAACATGGTGCCAATCCAGATGTGCTGGACGATCTTTCCCGAGATTCTCTGAATCTGGCATGGAAATTATGGGGAAATGTAGAGCAACATATTTGCATTTTGCTTGGTTTGGGGACAAATGACCCAATCATTTGAAATGATTTAAAGGAGCTTCTTATACTCTTAAAGCTTGGCTAGGGGGCAGCACCAAGTCAAATTTGGCTAATTTCAAAAGGCTTAGCAGAATTGGACCTGACTTGTATTTTCAGAGTAGACTATTAGGAAATTCTAAAGAATTTGGCTAGTCTGGAGAGTCAAAAAAATAATAATTCCAAGATGGGGCAATGGCCAACCACCCCAATATCATTGCCAAGAAATTAATATGGCAGTTCCTACAAAGGCTCTGGGAAAGTCAATCTTGACTCAACCCCCACCCCCCAACCCTTTAGCTTTTCTTGTCACTACAAAGGTTAGAAGGACCAAGAAGGCAGACTGTGTATTTTTGTTTTGGGTGAAATGGCTCTCTTTATGCCCAAACTGGAGATGCTTCCATGATAAGAAGAGGCATTCCTCTGATTGCTGTGGGCCACTACAAGGCTTATTACATTGGCCTGCCAGCCCGAAATGACCCTTTACACTGACCCATCTAAGCTTGCCTAAAATAAAAGGTGGGGGGAGGCAGAGAATGGGGAACTGTCATGTATTATTCCAATTATGGAAAGATGAAAATCCTCTGACCCAGCAGGTAATTTTATATCTGCAGACAGTCCTAAGCTGAGGTCTATAGGAAATAATAACCAAATGAATGATGAGGGAGTGAAACAGAGCAGCAGGTTGATAAAGGAACTGGATTGCTGGACCATATTCTTGGTTAAGACATTTTGCTCCTGGGATGACATTCCTAAGCCCAATTTTCAAAGTTTGCCGCTTTCTATATCTGAGCCAAAGCCAACACAGTCTTGCAAATTGGCTCTTTAATAAATTCAACACTTGCTTTATTTAACACTTCCTTTATTTCTACCCTATCAGTCGACGTAAAACAGTGTGTCCAAGGACAGGCAGCATTCGATAATAGAGGGGAATGGGTGTAGGCAACAGTGTTTCTGGGGAGGGGAGGGGGACACACATTCATTATGTTGGCCATAGTCATATGTTCCAAGCTCCCACCCCTTTTATATTATGCTACCTATGCCACACACATAAAAAAAAATGAGTGATGTTTTTATTATATGGTGGTGGCCACAATATTGATTTTGGATAGATTCCTTTGGGTGTCCGTGAGAATATTTCCCTGGATCAGGAATGGACTGCTGGTTGGTTTCTCACCCTTCTGTTTGGAAGCCTTGATGGCTTTCCTCCCTCTATCATCCCTGTTCCATCTCTTTTCATAGCCAGGATTAGATCACTTTCCCTTCCTCCTTCCCCTCCAGGGCTACTTCCAAACTTCCAAACATGGCGGTGGTGGGGGGAAATCAATTCCCCATTTCTGTTTTAGGCAGGTTTAGCCCATGCAAATTTGGAGCACATCTGCATAATTTATTCTGAGCTCAGGAGTGGGGTTTCCTCTGCGAGGAATTTTGGCACCTCTTCTAGGCAGCCCATTAGGAGGGAAGGCCAGAGGAGAACAGCTGCCTCACGGGTGACCCTTCTCCGCGTCGAAGGCTGGGGACGCCTCGCAGAGTCCCAAGGGTGGTGGTGCCGAGGAAGAGGAAGAGAGACGTTGTTGTGGTCTTCCTGCGAGGGAGGGGACGCGGCTGGGGGGAGAGCGCTACTGCGCCGCAGCTGTACACAGTGCAGAGCTAAGGTGGGGGGATGGGCTCAGCTTGGCAACTGCAAGAGGCTGCATTAATATTTAATATCTCCCTTGCTTGTTCCAGCAATGCAGCGAACAGGAGGCGAAGAGAAACAGTCACAGTAGATGGGTGGGTGGCTGGGTGGCTGGGCTGATGGGGTGGGCTTGTGAGTGTGGGGCAAAAAAACAGGGGGCTCTCTCCTTCCATCACCCCACCCGCTCGACCTGCCTGGAGGAAGGTGGCAGAAGGAAGAACAGGCAAAGCTCTGATTGGAAAGGGAAAAAAATTAATAATTAAGTATACACATATAAATGAGGATACAAAAAACTGCCAGAACCACCGAGGGGCTGGGACTGAATCAAGCCAGCAAACGCACATACAAAAAATGAAGTATGCCCAGGAAAGACAGCCTAGAAACATAGTTTGACTAAATGGCATGCACACACATTTTTTTTCTTTTATTGTTTAAAAAAACAGGCATCCAGAGAGGATACTAAAAGTCTCTGTATTTGTGCAGGCACACACATTTACTTCGGGGTGTACAGTTTGTGTGTATTGATTCTAATGCACCACCTGATGACAATTTGCATTCTGTCAAAATAGCACAAGTCTTTCTCCTCCTTGTGGCGTATGGCTCCTATAATCCTTGGGCTGGGGATGATGGACATTGCAGTTAGCACAACTGGTAAACGTCCATTTGGGACTGACTGAGGCAATCCAAGAACTGACACAATATCATGCCTACTCAGTGATAATCTCCTAAGGCACCTCGGGAATGGTCCTGGGAATTGGAGACACATGTTTCCCCTGCCGATTTTATATTTGCAAGTACCGGAGGGTCTTCAGGGAAATGTGGCCATTTCCAACATCACTGCCCCGTTGCCATCCTTCAGTGCCTCAGATTTAATCCTACACTGATTTGCAGTTCCATCCAGCTTCTTGTCTATATTGTGCTTCTTTATATTATCTGTGTGCATAGATGCAACCAGATGAGGAGGAAACACACTGAAGTGCTTGTAATCTTCCTTCACCCGCCCACACACATTGGAGGCTGTTTTCAAACAAATGCACACGCACGCACAAACACATACACAGAGGTGCATTTGCTGAATGGCTCCCTTGATGCCAACACTCTCCCTTGTCTATAATTGCACCCTAGAGAACCAGAGATAAAAATATTTTCTTGGCTGGGAGAATATGTTTGTTTTTTATTTCCTTCCCTCCCTCCCTCCCTCTCTCTCTGTCTCTTTCTCTCTCTCTCTTTTTAGGTCCTCCGTTCTGGGGTCTTGTGAATTCAGCGTGGAGCCTCTGTGCCATTGGCAAACGCCAGTCTCCTGTGGATGTCAACACAAGTCAAATGATTTTTGATCCCTTCCTGCCTCCTCTCCGACTGAGCATTGGTGGAAAGAAGGTGCGTCTCGGTCTCTAAGGTTGATGGAAAATAATTCCCAGCTCAGCCTTCCTTATCTGAGGCTCTCTGCAAAAGGTGCATTTGGGGAATTGCCTCTCCAAGCCTTTCGGAGGGCACCAGCTTGGGGAAGGCTATCCTCCCAAGCATCGGTGACTCCAGGAGTGCAGCCATTATCGTAAAACAAAATGAGTTGCACTAATGGCTAATTTCTGTAGCACCTAAGTGCAAGTAACTTCACCCAGCATTGAAACAATTTGGATTCATTCCAGATTTTCTTATATTACTTAGTGACAGAACCGGAGATCAACCCTTTTGTTTCGCCGCCCTCAGCTAAATCCCCAAGGTGGTGTGCAAAGATGAATCTACTGAAGTCCTGGGAAGATCCACTCCTTCCCAATCCCTCCAAGGGCTCAGAGTTCCTAAAGATGTTTCAATCACTCTGAGGTTCCTTTCTTTGGCTGTAGGCTGTGGGGAAAGAATGGCATTCCAGCAATAAAGGGGAAATTCAGGTAGTGCTCGAGTTATGACCATATTGAGACCAGGATTTTGGTTGCTAAGCAAGGTGGTTGTTAAGGAATTCATGCCCAATTTTAATGAACTATTTTGCCCTGGTTGTTAAGTGAATCAATGCAGTTAAGCAACAATCACATCACCCAAGAATGTTGCAACTCTTGTAATTATGTACCATTTGCCAAATGCCTGAATTTGGATCCTGGGGATATTGCAACTTAAGTGTGAGAACTGGTCATAAATCGTTATTTAAAATGCCGCTGTAACCAGGGGTGGGTTCCTGCAGGTTTAACAACTAGTTTGCTGAGCGTGCATGCACAGCCTACAGAATACTTACATTTCGGATTACTGCTTGGGAAGTAAAACAGATAAAAGTAGGTCTCCACTTGCTCATGGGAGCGAACTGGTTGGCTCCCAGATGATCTTCAGCGCTACAGGTTCACCCGAACCAGTCTGTACCAGTAGAATCCCACTGGTACAGACTGAATAGTCGTTAAACACATAGTTGTAAGTCAAAGGCCACCTTTATGTTCTGCCATTCCTTCATGAGTTGAAGGCAGTATGTGTAACACTCCTTCCTATTTTTCCCCACTTTGGGGAAAGTCCAACTTGGCCCAAAGTCCCCCAGGGGCCTTGTATGTCTGAAGGAGAACTGGAAGCCCCCTCCAAGCCCAACACCTTTGACCGCTCCAACACTATGTTATGTAACACAGAAACTGCATGTTGTTAGATCAAGCTTAATGTTTAAAGAGTTTCATAAGTCCAATTTATCCCAGGGTTTTTTTTGCTTTCCACTTGCCTGGTTAGGGAAAAGCATTAACATCTTTTCTGCCCTCACCAGAATGCTGCCAGTTGTTTTTGTCACATCTCAAGGGCGCTGGGATTGTTAACAGGTCGTAGTGAACCATAAACTGAACTTGTTGAGTAGCCAAATTATCATAGATGCTCATTTGATGATCTGTAACCAACCAAAGTTCAACTGTCCAGACCCAAACATCACAGAAGGAAGCTGATATGTAGAGAAAGTGCCATTTTACATGTCCAAGTGAAGGAGATTGCAAGACTAACGCCCTAAGGAGCGTTAGTCTTTGGCAATGTGGAATGAATTGATATTTAATAGATGACCACATCCATAATGGAGCTCCATTTTCAGTTGCAATGGCCCTCTGCAACCCTCTGCCAGCAAAAACGGAGCTCAGGGGGGCCAACAAGCAACCCCCCCAAGCTCCGCATTTGCTGTCAAAAGGCTGCAGCAGACTGTCGCAGACAAAATAAATGTTGAGCTGGCCACACCCCAACACCTCCCCCCAACGAGGTCAAATACAACCCTGATGTGGCCCTCAAATCAAGTGGCACCTCTGATCTATGACAATTCACTACAGCCAGAGTTGGGCTGAAGCCGGTTCGGACAGGTTTGGGTAAACTGTTTGTTATGATTCTGCGCAGTTTAGCAAACTTGCAAATTCCACCGCTGGCTGGCCCCGCCAACCCCATTCCGCCCCACCCCACCCTATCTCACCTTGCCCATCTTGGCTGGTGGCCCAAGTCACAGCTGCACCCAGCTACTCTCTGGCTCACTCACCCAGACTATGCGGTCCAGCTGATCTCCGCACCTTGCCTTCTCTGCTCAGTGTGGCTGCCCACAAAGGTAAGACACTTGGCTAATGGGCTGCCTCGAGGAGGATATGGTTTGGCTTGGCCGCCTTTCAGGTTTCACTCTCACCATCCTACCACCTGCCTATTACCTGCTCGGCTTCATCTCGGGTCGGGGCCCAGGGGACGCACCAGTCCCTGGCTGTGGCCTTCCCTGGGGCCTCTGCCCCCATGCCAGGCCGCCACCGTGAGAACAGTGCAAACCCCATGGGCTAGAAGGTAAGGCTGAAGGCAGGGAAAGAAGATCCACCCCCGGTTTGCTGTGCTCGGCCAAATGACTGCCTCGGTGGGCAGAGGGGCGACACACAGCGAGGCTCGGCAGCCTTTCAGGCCCAGCTTCAGCTTCCACAGGGCCTTCTGGGTGGGAGGCCTGAGAGAAAATGCCTCCCCTGAGGGCCATCCACTTGCCCATCCACTGGCCGGGCAGGTCTGGAAGCGGCATGTCCCTTGTCACGGGCTGGATGTGGGACCCAAGGCGGAGCGAAGGTCGAGCAGGCAGCAGCCCAGAGCAGGGCCCCAAAAGGTGGCCAAGCCTCACCATTCCCCCCCACCACCAAGAAGCTTGCAGCTGCCACTCTTTGCCAGCGTGAGAAGAGTGCAGCCACCGCTTCCGCGTTGGTTCCGGCCAGCAATGGGGTGGCTGCTGCAGGATTCTCGTGCAGAAAAAGAGGTGGCTGCTGCAGGCCAGCATCTTGAGGCGGTGTCCTGTGTCCAGCTGCACCATCAAAGGCCAGAAGTAGCCATTTCCTGCTGCAAAAACCTTTTTAAAAAGACCCAGCAAGAGATGAGGCGTCAGAGAATCACCGTTGCTGTTGCTGCGCAAAGGTAGGTCTAGCCACCGCTGCTTCGGCCTGCCTGCGCCCCTCCACCTTGCTGTGACTGACACCGAGTTGGCCACACCCACTCAGTCACATGACACACACCCCAGCCCATGCCCACCCAGTCAGTCATTAGGGCAGAAAACCGGTTAAAAATTTTGAAGCCCACCACTGGCTACCGCCAACTCACCGCAGGACAACTCGCTGTGAGACAAGAGCTACATGTTGAAGAAATAGATGAATGGAATTGTTAAAGGATGCCAAAGGAGGGAATAAATAAAACATGAATGAAAAAATTTCATTTTTTTTTTAAAATGCATTCAAATAATTAAATTGAATTGTTGCATTGTCCGCAATGAGTTGTCCTGTGGCTAGTTGGCCATGGCGAGTTGTCCCATTCCACAATGGAATGCCATAAAGTGGCCCTCTTGAAGGCAACCTGCACCCTTCGGGGACAAAATGGGACTGAAGATGTCCTCTTGGAGTGCCCCGACCAGTGTGCTAAACATTTCACTGCTCATGCTCCTTCCGCTGTGGTAGAAGGCAATAGGACATGGTCTTCAGGTTGATCGGGATGCTTTTTCAGCCTTGCAGATTGAGGTTGGAGTCTGACCGGCCACAAATTGAATTGTTACTTTGGCTTCTTCAGACGGTTAGAGGTGGGATAAGCAATTGGATTTGGAAGATGATTAATGCCCCTGAGGAAGAAGGTGATGCCTGCTTCCTTGAATTAGGTGGTGATGATGCTCACTTTTTATCCAGCACTGGTAAAGAACTTCCAATCGTTGACCTTTCCTTTTTAGGGTAAGTTTTGCAGAAGATGCTCACGTGGCAGCTTCAGGGGATTCTGGAAGGAGCAGATCATCTGGATACCTAGTATGTAATACAGAAAGAGCCTCCATTGTCACTATTGTCTTCTCCTGCAGATTAGTGGCACCATGTACAACACCGGCAGGCATGTCTCTTTTCGTCCAGATCCGGTACAACTGGTTAATGTTTCAGGAGGACCTCTGCCGTATAGTCACCGGCTCCAAGAAATAAGGCTGCATTTTGGCAGTGAAGATGGATTTGGCTCGGAACACCGGATAGATGGTGACAGCTTTTCTGCTGAGGTGAATACAACTCTTGGTTCAAACAGGAGTAACACCACTGAAGGTGTCCTCTGCAGATTTACTTAAGGTTTCCTCAGGGATGTTGATGGGAGGGTGAGGTTGATCAAAATCTGCAAGATGGAAAAAAAGAAAAGGAGGGAGGGGGGAGAGGGATGGAGGGAAGGAGAGAGGAAGGGGGGGAGAGAGAGATAGACCTAGAAAAGTTCTTTTTTTACATTGTCCACTCTAGGACTTTATCTCTCTGTTAGGTGCAAGAAGAGTGGGTAACCTACCTCTTGATAGCCCTCTCTTTTTTGTATGTGTGATTCAGCCGATGAGGAAGAGTTAGTTTAGTTTGAAACAACCTCGGGGCTTTCTTGGGCTAAAATTAATCTCCCATAGCTCTGCAGTTGACTGCATTGTAGTGTTCAGCTACCCATTAGCTTCAGTCATTTAAATAAGTTATGCAAACAGGGCCAGCGCATACATACTGGCACTGAGATAAAAATTAGTTTCGCTTGTATTAGAATGCAAATTTATCTCACATTTTGGGGTAAGCAATACACAAATCAACTCAGAAATATTGTTGGGCTTAGCTGCACGAGGTTTATTTCCTTTTGCTCCTTGTCTTCATCTAATGAGAACTTTTAATACCAGACCATGATAGTACAAAAATGCACTACATTAGGAAGAATTGTTTGCAATAACTCATTAAGCAGAACTGTGAATAAAAACAAATGTTTCAAGGAGTATGAATTAAGAAGAGATACAAATTTTGGAGTCAATTTTAAACAGTTCTGAATCTGGAGAAGTGAGAAAGTATTTTTTCATTTATTTATTTACTTGTTTATTAAATAAATGTATATAGCTGGCTAACTCATACAGAGGTGAATTTTGAGTAGCTCACAACATTAAAAATCCGCAGCGTAAAACCCCACAAAACTCCATCCCACCCATGTCATCAGCGACACAATCAAATCAACCTCTTGATGGGCCCTGCCTCCATTTGTGGTCCCCTGACAAAACCTCATCTTCAGGGCCTTTTGGAAAAGCAACAGGATGGGGAGCCCAATCATACTTTGGGGAATGATGTTCCCTAGAGAGGGCCACCACCAAGAAGGCCCTTTTTCGTGGTCTCATCAATTGTACATCACTACTACGGTGGATGGGGCCTATAGCATTTCCTGACTTCCCATCCCGGTGACCTGGGTAAATACGATAGGGGAGAGGCAGTCCTTCAAATAGCCTTTCCCCAAAGCCATTTATCACATTACTTTCACTAAGTAAAACTGAATTGGAAAGAATCACTTTTTCCTCTTTCCTCTCCCTTAGGTGCAGTTGATCCACTACAACCAAGAACTCTACCCCAATATTTCCGAGGCTTCACGCAATCCCAATGGTTTAGCTGTCATTTCTATCTTTGCCAATGTAAGTGCCTTGCCGTGGCTGCTAGGGGACATCAGGTGGGGCTTGAATAGGCGAGAGGAGGTGGGAAGTCAGGCAGTAAGGAGCAATATCTTGGATGGATTTCCATTTGCAGATTGGACCAAATCCTAACTCTTTCCTGACCAGGCTGTTAAACCGAGAAACGATTACCCGGATCTCCTACAAGAGTAAGTGAAGCCAGTATGACAGATGTGGATCATATAAGGAAGTTTTTGTAAAGGTGGCTGAGCGTTGAAAACTGGAGGGGACCGAGTGGGAATTAATATAATATAAGAGTTCCTCTTGGAATATTGAAGTTAGCAAAGCTTCACTGTGCCCGATAGTTTGTTTACCTTCAGCAAAAGATTTAGGGAGGATATAACTGTTGACTATAACAGCATGAAAATTTTTGAATACGTGATTCTGTGGCCAAATGGTAGAATTGCTACTTTTGATGTGTTATTCATTAGTATTTATTTATTTATTTAACATATGGCATATCATTCATGGACTTGCAGTATACATTAACATTTTGCCAAGATTTTAAAAAACACACACACAATAAAATATGAATGTTAAAAAGATCTGCATTCAGAAATGAATGTCTTACTGATTCATTACCATCTTTCCCTGAAAATAAGACAGGGTCTTGTTTTTTTTTGATCCCCAAAATAAGTGCTTGGCCTTATTTGGGGGGGGGTCTTATTATTTTTGAGGTACAGGAAGCAGCGAACATGATCACCTCAAGGCTGCTGCTGTGTTGCAATATTTCTGGGGAGGGCTTATTTTCAGGGGGGTCTTATTTTAGTGCATGCACTCAAAAGTCCAATTGGGCTTATTATCCAGGGAGGTCTTATTTTTTGGGAAACAGGGTAGTTTTTTGGAAGTGTTTGAAAAGATCACAACCGGTAACTAAATGGATCTCACCAGCCGAGTTCTGTCCACATTCTTAAGGTAGCCATGAATCCTATTTCAACAGATGATGCTTATCTTCTACACGATCTGAGTCTTGAAGACCTTTATCCAGAAACATTTGGTTTTATCACTTACCAAGGATCCATGTCAACCCCTCCATGCTATGAAACCGCCACCTGGATTCTCATTGACCGTCCCATCAATATTACCTCCGTTCAGGTAGGTGGTCCCTAGGGCCCATCACTGCTGGGCAAATTCTCTTTAATTCTCTTTTTGTCTCCCTGCCTTCCCTTGCCCTCTCTGACCCCATTTGCTGTCCTCCTGGTGTCCTCCACCATTCTTGAACACTTGTCTCCCATCCCTCTGTTCTCCAGATTCACTCCCTTCGTCTTCTCAGTCAGAACCTCCCTTCTCAAATTTTCCGGAGCATGAGTGACAACTCGAGACCTCTCCAACCCCTTTTACACCGAAGCCTTCGGGGCAACCGAGACCCACGGCGCCCCACTAAACGTTGCAAAGGAGCCTCCTACAGGCTACATGGTAGGTGACCCAGGAATCCCATGTTAAGAGCTCTTCCTTTACACTCCCATTCCACTTCTTCGTCTCTCTCCTTTTTTAAGCTTTCCTAAAAGTTTCTCAAAGTGGAAGATATTTTTTCCTTTCTACCCTCTTAAGTCCCTTATCTGGTTGAGTGGTAGGGACGAATGCAAGATAAGTTGGCAGTTTCAGAGCTGAGCAAGATCTAAACCTGAGTTTCCCCCAGCTTTCATACAGATAGAGCAGGGGTGGTATTCACTTACCTTCCCTACCGGTCCGCAAATGGAGCGTGCGCCACCTCCATGCTTGTGCACAGCCTCCTACTCATGTGCTTTTGGTGAAAAAAGGGCCTGAATGGGATGCCATAGAGCCAGGGCGGGTGGGTGGAGCCAGCCACGATTTCCACTACCAGTTCGGGCAAACCGATCCAAACTGGTAGATTACCACCTCTGAAATAGAGCCACTGTAGTTGGGCTGCAAATATTCAGGTGGTAGAAAAGAGATGCAAAAACTCTTGACACTTTAGTACCCCCTAGTGATCATGCATATGTTTGCAGCCCAGATCTTGAACTATAATACCATGGGGTGTGTGCCCTGACACAGAAGCTAGACCCGGAATGGTGAACCTATGGCACGCGTGCCAGAGGTGGCATGTAGAGCCCTCTCTGTGGGCACATGCACCATCGCCACTTCTCTTCTGGTTTCCGGCATGCACATGCGTAGTGGAAAGCTTGTCTTTGTGGATGCTGGAGTGCCAGAAAACAGCCTGAAAATGGCCTGAAAAATGGCCAAAAAATGCCGAAAACTAGCCTGAAAAGGCCTGAAAATAGCAATAATAATAATAGCAATAACAGTAGACTTATATACCGCTTCATAGGGCTTTCAGCCCTCTCTAAGCGGTTTACAGAGTCAGCATATTGCCCCCAACAACAATCCGGGTCCTCATTTTACCCACCAGTTCAAGACTGGTTCTATATCTGCCCGATTTCTCAACGCAACTCCTATTTAGGACGATGGCAGCATCCCGGAGTCACGTGATAACCCCTTTTGCGACCTCCTGGCAAGCAAAGTCGAAGGGGGAGCCAGATTCACTTAAACCACCGTACTAACTTAACAAGCGCAGCGATTCGCTTAACAACGGTGGCAAGGAAGGCCGTGAAACGGGAGCCAAACTCATTTAACAACCATCTTGCTCAAGCCGCAGGAATTTTAGAGGCTCTGCCGTGGTCGTAAATAGAGGACTCCCCATGTTCGGAGGTGGAAAATCGCCCTACCCATTCTTGTTTATCCACATCTTCGCCGAGGCTGCTGAGAACGTTCTCCACTCGAGCCAGGCGCCCCGAGAGGGAAAGGAGGAGGCTGACCACCTTATCCAGGTCGCCAATGAACATTCGGTACTTGTCAAACTCATTGGGCTTGCACAGGGCGCTGATCAGGGCCTCCACTTCCTCTCCCAAGGTGTTGTTCAGCTTGATGTCCGCTAGGAGGCTCTCCTTG